GTAAGAGACCCGGATAGGGAGATTCCGGCGCCAGTTGCACGGCGGCTGGATTTATTGAGGGGTAGGGGAGAGAGGCAAGGGGTCCGGTCAGATGACGAAGTGACGGTTGAAGAGTTTAGTTAAGGAATGGGGAGTGAAGGATGATAAGGTTAACGCTGGTTGTAGTGCGATTGTTCTTGTTGGAAGGAACTTAGGTTTTAGAGTTTAGGGTATTTTGGGGACACCTCCGCAGATGAGGCGATGAATATTAGGTGGGGGTTGCTATGGCTAAGTCTAGGTCCGCGGGTATGTCATTAGGTCGCCTCAGACGGTGACTGTGAAATCAGTGACTGGTCGGAGGTACATTCAGTCTTCTATATAGCTTCGCGGTTAGTCGCCAATATTGCTCCCGCCATACTATGATGGTGGGGGGAGACATGCTGGGGGTGCCTACTGGTATTGACGGTGCACAAGGACTCGCATTGGCTGGAGTATTGGTCGTGGGTGGTAGGCACAGATGTTGAGTCGTGGGTTTATAGCTTGCCTCTGTTGACTGCCTGGATTCATCGGGGGGGGAGGGGGGGGGGGGGGGGTAGGTGGGGGGCAGGGGTGGGGGCGTCGTGGGGGGGGGGGGTGGGGGGGGAGGGGGGTTGGTCTTGCTTCTGGATTTCTACATGTTCACCAACCTCTCGGATACCAAAGACTGATGCGAGGACGACTGATATTGCTGTAACGAAGTTCTGAAGTTGTAGTACCGGGTCGGACTAGACAGACGAATGCGCATCGGTCATGACGAGTGAGAACCACACGTAACAAAGTCACTCACACGATCAAATCAACTGTAGCACGATGCATCGGACATCACGGAGAACGAGCGGGGAGCGCAACAACGTTTACTTGGCGAATCGAAAACGGAAGTTACGACGACCTTCAAAAATGCGATAGATAAGTAAAAATGTCATAGGACAGAAGCGCTGACAAACTGTTTGTCACGCCTTCAGACGTCCGTGGCTTCATATGAGTTAGTAAACCAGATGGGGAAAACGGAGCTTTTCTAGGCAGTTTTTAAACGGTCCATAGCCATATTGATTTCATCACATTGCCACTATCAAAGGTTCCTACTTCGTGCATGGCGGCCTTGATCCTGTTCCACTGAGGCTTAGTGTCATGGGAACAAGATGGCGCATGTTCGATGCGGAAGGCCTCCTGGTGGGCTTGCCTGACCGAAGGCCGAGGTGACTTCTCTGTTGCCACTCGAGTGGGACGCTTAGCACTCCTCCCATAAAACTTTATGGAAAGACGACAGCGTACCAAAGCATGATCAGGGTCGACGTAAGTATTCCAGAACGAGCGACAATCCAGGATGGAATTACGCCACCTGTAACTTATTTTAAAGTGATCTATCTTTGTCTATCGTTGGTCAGCTATAAGGGGACGCCAAGTGACACTTCGGCGTTCACTGTGTCTAAAAGCGGTGCTACAGATAAACAGTTGCTACCTCACACACAGTTACAACAGACGCACGCCGTTGTCCGTCCGTTCGTAGTTAACCCCATACTTACCACCTAGCTAAGCATCTGAAGAGCCCAGGCCACCTACTTGTGTATTCATATCCCCTGCAAATATCTGAACTGGTAACACTGTCTAGTAGCGTGTTCAGTTCATAGTAGATTGTGTCCTTGGCAGCATCAGCACTGCATTCGGAAGCATAAGCGGAAATCATAAACAAACAGCGTCTTGTACTGCTTCGTGAATCAATCTTAGTTGATGTCGTCGAACGGAACTATGCACAATGCCAACTCCTGCTTGACCAGAAGCTGCCACATCAGTGTATCTGGATTCATGCAACCAATAGTGAGAGGATATATCGGGTGCAGTTAATTCATCAACCCCATGAGGGTCATTGCTCCTAGTTTCGGACGCACAACACACGTCAATACTCAGCCTGTCTAACGTGCGTGCGAGTGCAGCCTGTGGACCTAATTTTCTCATAGTGCGAACGTTGAACGTCGCCAGGGAACCGGGACTACGTAGCTTTATAAGGGACTGTTGCCAATAGGTCTCCAGTGGGTGGTACGGGAAGGTACCTGCAGATGGTTCGACTACAGTGGCATTACGACTGATGTCAATTAAGTCGGGAATTATAGAAGGAAGGTTAATACTTGGCATTAGGAGGGGAGTCAGAGAAACAGGTGGAAAAGAAAGAAGGGAGGCGCCAGCAGTAGCATTTTTTCGTTTATCCGGCCTGCTATATATAGCAGATAAGGCTACCCTTTATGGTCTGCGCGACGGCCGATGCAGGATGTGGTTTAATTTCGAAGAAATTTTCATGGTTGTACGTGGGCTGAGAAATTGTCAGGGCACCCATCCCTAAACGGGAGAATGATTAGGGTCTTCAACCAATGCCTTTGGCTCAAAATCCTGTCCGCAGTGCAGCGGGGTGGTTTCAGTGACTTGATTTTTACTGAAATGGACGCCATCTCGTCGCGACAGGCTCTTGAGTGCTGACTTCCATAGTCTCTAATCAGGCATTCAGGAACAACCGACTGTCTCGTCAGCTTTTTTATGTCTCTTCTCCATGCTGTTATCTTTCAACCACGCTGTCTTCTCCAGTGCTTTCCAGCAATCGCAAACAGCGCACTGTATGGAAGACACTGAACGGGCACGCGAAATAAGGGTTTAGGCCACCGCACTTGATGCAATAAGACAGGCTCTTCGTATGCGTGGTTATCTCTCAAGACACAATACCTAATATCCACATTGCTTATGTGTTGCAAGCATCACAGACGGGGAATGGACCGCAAGAAACAAGTGCTCGATAACTGACAGTTGGCACAACTCAACGGTACGAACAGACCAAGTCCCTCATCCGTAAAACTGTACAGCACGGAGAGGGGCACAATAAACCCGTGCGTTGATGGAGAAAAGGATGTCATGATGTTTCCACACGTGCCTCAGTCTAGTGAAAACGGGTCGAGTTCTTGAGATGCGCATCGGAATCTCATCTCCAACAGCCCCCCAGTAGTGATGCCGCTTCCCAGGTATGCAAAACTCTCCAGTGTCTCACCACCAAGGGTGAGTGCAGTTGCAGTCATTACTCAGTCTTGAAAGAGAGCTTTGCATTTTGATGGGGAAACGTGCGTGTCATAATTCGATGCTTCAGTCACCAATCGGTTAATCGCAAATTGGACGACCTGTGGCCCGTCTCCCAGAAATACGGTATCATCAGCATAGTCGAAATCAACAACTTGATTAACTGCGTGGAGCTCAACATGAGTGCTCAGTGAATCTTCCGAAGCGTTGTTGTGGACATCCTTACTAGTATAGTTGAAGAGTTGGGAGATAGAGCATCATTGTCGTACCCTACCGGCCACAACTGCAGAAGGCGAAAGCCTGCCATAAAGTCAAACTCTGCCCAGGATCAAACTGTACGGAACACTTTCCGGGAACACCACTCCTCAGTGGGTATTGCCACAATGCACTCTTGTTGATAGAATTGAAGTCAGCGCGAATATCCAGTAGAACAATAATTGTTGGCTTTTGCTACACATGATGGAGTTTCAGGATCTGGCGGTGTGGTAATCTGATCGATGCAGCCGCAACCAGGACGGAACCCAGGCCATTTGTCTTGCTGTGGCGCTTTGCGTTTCGGTGTAGCTTGAGCAATGTGATGGACACATGAAGTTAACAAACGACGGGAACCAAACTTATACCCCTGTAGTTGGAGCACATTGTACGCAGGTCTCTTGACTAGACTTACAAATAAGACTGTGATTTTCTCGAAGTGGCAAATAGTTGCTATCCTTTAGTGGAGCGAGATTTAGACCTTTGGGCCGACTAATCTTTGTAACGCATCTAAAGACGAAATTAGTGCCAGGTTTTCTGGTAAGGGGTGGATCTGTGGGGGTAGGACACTCGGCACCATCTCGCGCTCCAGAGTAAGTTGGCGGTCAGCAAAGCTGCAAACCAAAACGTCATGACCATTGCTGCAACCGTCTTTGAAGATTATTGGCCAAATGACCATTTTCTTCTCCAATTGTTTCACTTACACCAGAGCGGATATCTTTGGTGATCTGAATGAGATGAAATGGTTTTCTGGCATTTGTCAGGAAGTATATCAAATTCCATCTGAGCTCATTTACTTCACCGGGTTTCACGGTCCCGTTGTGGACTTTTGCGCAATTCTCAACCAAGGTTCCGGCGTTCCTCATTACGACACGCCAGCGGGAAGCGAGCTTCGTGTATCCATCAGTGACAAGTAGACAGCAGTGATCCCGTTTCTTGGCATGTGACAGTTAACTCTACAACTGTTAGTACTGGCAAAAATTAAGGCGCCTTTGATATGCACCGGTCGCGAATTAAGGTGATCGCTAGAGACTGACTCAAATAGTGTTGACAGTGAGACTTGCTACTTGGCTAGGACGATAGTGTTTTGTAAATTTGCGACGTTCGGTCGGTTACCGTTCCCTCTTTTTACTGCCCAAAGCGCCTTCGTTGACTCCTTTTGCTATGGCATATAGGTGTGGAACGACATTCATTATACCAGCACGTCTGTCTAGCGCACTGGTCTGTGTGTTAGGCGTTTTGCAGACTGTTTATACTTTGTACAATGTGCAGTGTCAGGTGTTGTTTCACTAATCACTGCTTGCGTTTTTGAATCAGGGAGTGCGTCCGCACCATCTCATAAGTAACAAGTTAAGAAAACACGTGCAAACTCGATCCGCGAGCAATTATTTAGGTATCTGTCTGCTCTCTATTATCATGTATGCAAACCTATTCGACACAGATGTTTATATCGTCGGCGCACCTCACATTTCTTGTGCTCCATTCGGCTTGCCATCCTTTTTGTTTCCTATCGACCCGTCACTCCGAATGGTAGAAATACTGGTAGCTTTCATTATTTTTCTTTCTCACGTCTTAGAACGGTTGTGCACTGTATCGCGGGCTTTTTGGAAGCATTTCAAAAGGTGGCCGATTCCGCATACAGCAGTAATTGTGGGTTGCGTGAACTTGGCAGCTCGATGACACGATTTTGCCTACGGGAACGGGGTTTGGAGTCACGACTGAGAACCTTCAACAGGTACGCAAATCGATGGCATGTTTTCCTACGGCACCGTTACTTTTATGCGTCAATAGTACGGATCAGTATTTTGTTTCGTATAATCCCCTTTTGGCACTCCACTGCTGATGTCACTCATTTGTAAGTGATTAGTTCTTTCTGACCGACGTTTATGGAATCTGTTGAACGCAGATCTTACTTATGACTTGAAAATACTCATCCACTGTGATTCGAAACTACCATCACAATCACGATGTGTCTAATGCCTTCCTTTACTAAGCCACTGGCACCTCTGTGCTGCACTACAGTTACATTCGCTTTAGCCCGCATAAAACGAACAAGACCTCTGATCTGAGCCACATGATGGTCGGTGACTTCACGTTCAGTGCGTTCAACAGACTTGTCCTGTTTTTTAAGCACTGAAACGCGCAATTTGTAGCGGAATCGGCTCGTGAATTGTGATATATGAGTAATCATTCGATGCTCATGGTTCCAAAAAGACTTAAGACCAGGATTCATACGATTACTACGACATTTTTTAGATTGTAATGTTTTTCAGGGAGCCATCCTGTCCCCATTTCTATTTACCGCCTACGTTGAAAGCCTGCTTATTCCATCAAATTTCATAAGCTGTAAATATGCTGATGACGTCATCCTGGGATGCATAGCCCCAATCATCGAGGACTCCTTGAAACTCCAACGGGGGTTAGACGAACTAGTGAATTGGTCCAGCTCCCGGTCCCTCTCAACCCTTCCAAGTGTTGTGACGTAACGTACTGTTTTCTACATCCCAACAGGCTGCATCCGCTTGTACATATCTCTCCTTCAGTGAATATGGATGATCAAAGCATATCTCGCACATCTGCCGTAAAGTATCTACGAGTTTTTCTATCACAATTCATCTTAGTTTACACATATTCTTGAAACATTTAAAAAAGTTAGTAGGTTCTCTTTTTACGCTCCCAGACTTAAAATGCTTTCCGTTCCCTGTGATTTAATTCCACGGTTTGTGGAATTATACTGTTCTCCAGTTATTTTCATAGGACTGCTTCAAAAAGACTATGTCCTTCTTGTTCGTTCGCTAAAATTCCTCGTTGCTCCGGTTGCATAAAAGAAACGCTCATGGATTTCATTGTTAATAAACATTTCGATGCATGCATTAATTTTTCATCCACGATTTTAAATGACTCATCACACACACCCTTTACACGATATCCTAGCCAGCACTATATCTGCTTCGTCCACTCGGACAAAATTTAAAATTTCATATTCTCCTACCTCGTCGTATCAAAACTCTATCTTGCCTTTTCTGTCACGCTTACTAATCTACCATACAGGATTGAAACGCCGCTTTCGTGACCGCATGCTTGAATTAAGATGCAATTTTTCATTTACTGCCACTAATTGTTATTTCTCGGTGATGCTTTGTTGTATAATAATCCGCTGTGTTTGTGTGAAAAGGCTGGAAATGCGCCCATACGGGTGGATAAACATTACTTTTACTTGACTATACAGGAGTGAAAATCTCAGCGACAGAGTCCGGTGAGATAGCGACCATGGTTTCATCTCCAGCTATCGTCTCATGTGACACTTTGGGAATATATGATCCGTGTGACTCCTTCAAAATGGCTAAGCTTTGGTGCTACGAGTTTTTGTCGTCAAACCGGAGGCCATCCGCTGGCATTTACCACGCATTTGATAGTTCTTAGCTTGCTTGTCACTTCCTGTCGCACTATCAACTAAATTTTATGGCTTGATCCGCAATTTCCTGATGATTTGACATTCTATAAACTCATAGATGATTATTTACAATTAGTTTGCTGCCAAACACCCCCACACATACGGAAAGGCACTCGACAACCGTTTTGTCCTAGTGCGACCCGTCGGTAGTGCACATCCTCTTATCCCACCAGAAACTGACCTCATGAATGTTTGACGCTGGTGGCTTATGTCACTTGGTCACGTCTGGTTGAAGTAGGTCTTCATGTTATATTACAGCTCATCCTTTCAGCACGAACTACGAACACAGGAGAGCGTTAGTTCCTAAGGCCTTTGTATGACTTGGCGTTTATAAGCTGTACCGGTGAAATATTCTCAAGTTTATACCTCTTATATCATTTTTGCACCACGTCTGCATCGAGCATCCAGCGGCCGGCTATGCTTCACAAAAATCTCCTGCTCCCAACATTCTTTTCATCTGCTGGACGCTGATTGCACTTGCATCATGATCATAATCCAAACGGGCATTTGCTTTCTATCCATCTGATGGACACGCAGCCTTCGAAAACAACCAACCCGTTTAGAGCGATATCAACTAATACCCTTAACTCTGTAGCCAAAAGAAGAAACCACGGTACATTAACTATTGTGCCCACAAAGGTTCTAAAATCGCAGTCTAGCACTACGAAGAGCAAGCTCTTGGACGTCCGTACTCAGTGAACTTCCATTTCTTGACATTTCAGTTGAGCTCACGACACTGGTACGGGTCCCACGTCACCCAAATTTAGTACATGACGATGACCCCGACCTTTCCTGGTGACAATGGGTTCCGCTAACAACATAGAGATCGTTCTGCTGTCTCTAATTCGCCTCTGTAACACATCACGTAAGGTGCGCATACTTCCAGACATCCCGTTTGAACGAGCGTCCGAAAGAGAATAACAATCGTGAGGAAGTTTCCAAAGCGGACAAAAAACGGGTTTTTATTGTTTACGGGTTCCTGAGCTTTCAACCTCCTCTGTGGAAGCGAAAGCCTCCACCAGAAACTCTCCCTCAACGGTATCGTTGCAAATCGGTTGACATGAATTTCAGTATCACCCAACTGTGAGGGGGACGGTTCCAGGCTGATGGTGCTTCAGTCTGAGCAGATGACACCGCCCATATTCGAAAACTGGTCTAAATTCCGCCATAGGCTGCCTACAGAAATTTGGTTAAAGGCAGCAGTACACTACCAGGGTTTGCTAACAAGTCAATGAGGACGACAAAATTAGTGTATCTTCCCTCCACACAGCTTTGTGAATTGATGGATTTAATGGGAACCTCAACATCCCACGGAATAAGATAGGAGACATGACAGGATAGCCGAGAGCAGTCGTATAACCCAACCAAACTTCAAAGACCAACTACTCTACATAAAACGGCTAGTAGTCGACCCCTACCGACCCATACGATCTCCATTCTTAACTCAGCATCTAATACCTCACTTTTGGTTACTGAGAAACTGGCCTGCTTGTATACTGATGCACAAAACCTTATTAGTAAGTTGGTCGAACTCCGTCACCGTCAGGCTTCTGATCCTTGAGATATCATAATGATCACCGAAACATAGCTGAGCTGTGAAATTATCGAAGTTGAGATCGCTCTAACCGGTTTGTCACTTTTCCGGAACGACAGAACGGGTATGGGAGGGGAGTGATCATTTATTAAAAAACGGTGTTCGCTGTTAGCGGTGATTCCCAAACGTGTGACACTGATCTCTGATTTAATTTGTGGCTGAAGGACGACGACATCTGCCTTTTTATCCGTGGTTTACCGACCGCCCAAATCCACTCCGGAGATAGACCACAGTCTACTATCTGCGTTTTGTATTGGGATCAATCAACAATATGCCCATATCCTCATTACAGCAAATTGCAACCTTCCTGCTCCGAAAACTCCAGCAACCGATGGAGTAGAGTCCAAAGTCTTTTTTGCAAATACTAGCCTCTCGCACACCCCTATAAAACCACGTCAACGTTCCAATCAGGTTCAGTTTAACGGATAAGTCATCAGTGTTAGATCTAGTGCTCACCAGCGAGGAGCCCATTTTTAATGAATCAAGTGTATGCAGTCCTTTGGGCCAATGTGATCTCGTGACTATACTGTTCCATTACATTTGCTACGCCGAATACCCCGATGCAGGACCTGAAAGGATGCCATTTATTACGCCTAATCACGTATTGTCCACATTCGTTAAAAACGCTAGTCGGACATTCATGACTGACTTCACCCCAGAAATAACCTGAAATACATCCTTGAAAAGGTACTAGTGGCGATAGCATCATTGCCAAAAGCTTTCCGTCGTCCCCTCAAACCAAATTCTTTTCTAAGAAGCTGAATACGAAAATTTCTAACATTATGGGATGGGACATGACGCGTCTACAAAAACAATCCCAGCGCAGAAAATTGGATAGCGTACGTAGCTCAGCTCAACTACTCTTACCTTTGGTTCGTGAAGATCAAGTAACACCAGCTGGAGCTAGCGAAACGATTTTGCTCGAACCACAAGCTTCTTTACAAACACCTGAATAGATCTTGTAAGTGCAGCGCTGAATCCCACCACTCACTATGCTTGGTGAGTATCCACACACACAAAAAATGGCTGCCAACACCATACGGTCCCGGTACAAGCCTTGAACGTTATTCCTGCTGCTGTCATTCCAACTTTAGTTTTATCCAGTATCACATTCACAGAAGAAATGATACTGAAATATCTATCTACGCAGCTCTCTTGGAGTGAATAACATTCACCCTAAAGCACTGCAGTTAACGACCATACACCTAGCCGAACCACTTTCAGAATTCTTTCACCTTTGTCTAGTCGAAAACATGGTTTCGCCAAGGTGGAAACGAAGTATCATAAACCCCATTCACATGGGAGGAAGTCTATCTGATCCTGCCAGTTACCTCCCGGTAACTCTTCTCCCTGTGCTTCACAACGTTTTGGAAGCGATCATCACCGACATTCTGGTGCTCTACTTGGAATGCTACGGCATCATTGCGCCAGAGTAGCACGGGATTCGTCAACATCGATCATGTACCAAGGATCTGTTGATAGCACGTGACCACTGGGTGGAAATAGTCGACGTGGAAACAGTCATCGATGTTATATACTTGGACTTTTTGAAAGCCTTCGGTCGCTTGGATCATCGAATTCTGCTTCACAAACTTCAGTACTACGGCACCGGCGATCCAGTATTAGGATGGATAGGTAGCTTTCTCCGCGAACGGCAACTGAAGGTTAGTGTCCGAACATCTCTGTC